AGTCCCCTGCCTCCCACCTCAGGCCTCCCCACTCCCAGTCAGGTACACGGGGACGGGGGAGGGGCTGGAACACCCACCTGCTTGCCCAGCAGCACCAGGCCCACCTTCTCCTTCTCTGCCAGCTTGGCCAGGACCCGGGCCACCTGCAGGGGACCCAGGCGCTCGGCCTCTGCAGCCGGCACCTCCACGTGGATGCCTCGGTCTGCGCCCATGGCCAGGGCAGTGCGGAGGGTCTCCTGGGAGGAGAGAAGGGGCTTGACTTGGCTTCTTGCACCAGGGGGATCCAGGGTCCAGGCCCCCAGCCCCTCCTCCCTCGGACCCAGGAGTCCCGGCTCCCAGCTGGAAGGACCCCCTGCCTGATTGCATCACCCGTTCAGGCTGACCTGGCCACGGTGGAATCCGTGCTCCTGCCAAGTGGGTCAAATATCACAGGTCAGGCGTAGAGAAGGTGACTGGGCGGGTCTGTTTGGCTATAAATCCTGGACCTTCGGCATCTCTCCCAAGAGCCTCGGTTGTCCCACGGTCCCGGAATCACGTGCAAGAAGGACGCAGGCGCGGAGAACCGGAGCAGCAGTGCGGCCGTCGCCCTCCCGGACACCCCGGGTCTGAAACAGTCCAGACCCTTCAGTGATTCCGACTGCGGCTGCGCCCTCACCTGAGGACCGAGCCACTGATGGCCTGGGCCAGGGCCTGGTTCCAGCACCCAGGACTGTGGGTCCCTGTGCTGGCTGTCCTGCTGGGAGCCGGCCAGGCACTCCCCATCCCGGACTCCAGCCCCCTCCTCCAATTTGGGGGCCAAGTGAGGCAGCGGTACCTCTACACAGACGATGCCCAGGAGACAGAGGCCCACCTGGAGATCAGGGCTGATGGGTCCGTGGTGGGATCTGCCCGCAGGAGTCCCGAAAGTGAGTGTGGGGGCAGGGCAGGGTCCGAGGGAGGAGGGGCCGGGGGTCTGGACTCCTGGGTCTGAGGGAGGAGGATGAGGGTGTCTAGTGCTACCTTCCCTCCCTTGGTCTCTAGATGACGCTCCTGTCCCAGCTCCAGCCGGGGACCAGCAGGGAGCAGGGGTCTAAGGGAGGAGGGGCTGGGGGTCTGGACCCCTGGGTCCGAGGGAGGAGGGGCTGGGCAAAGGCCATCTGAGTCTCTGATCACTTTCTTCCCTCAGGTCTCTTGGAGCTGAAAGCCCTAAAGCCAGGGGTAATCCAAATCTTCGGAGTCAAGACATCCAGGTTCCTGTGCCAGGGGCCAGATGGGAGACTGTACGGATCGGTGAGTTTCCGGGACACCCCTCCTGGGACCCAGTCCTTCCTCCTCCCGGGTCACCATGCGGGACCATCTCTGGCACTGGTGGCCCGGGCGAGGCAGGGTTCTGCACTCGCTTCAGGGCCGGACCACCCCCCCAAAACCCATGAAGCCGGGCTGTTGTTATCCATGTATGCGGGACCATCTCTGGCACTGGTGGCCCGGGCGAGGCAGGGTTCTGCACTCGCTTCAGGGCCGGACCCCCCCAAACCCATGAAGCCGGGCTGTTGTTATCCATGTTTGCAAGAAGGGGAAACTGAGGCTCAGGCAGGGACGGATACCGTGGCCCCAAGTCACGAGGCCTGTGATGAGAGACCGAGTCTTGTGCCCCGTAACCCTTGCTGACCCCACCGGCTTCCACGTGTCTGGCTCACGGCCCGTGCAGTGACCGTGACCTTCGGGGGCAGCCAGACTCCCTGCTTGGTCTGGGGCAGCCTCAGCTGTCCCCTGGGCTGGAATGGCGGTCTTTGTGAAGTGGGGACCGGAAGTGGGCCTCGCAGGACCCTGTAGGGGTGTCCTCGAGGCCGGGGTGGGAGGCTGGACCCCGGGTCCTGCAGCCGGAGGCGTGGCCGTGACTCTGACCTCTTTCCTGTGCCCTCAGCTCCGCTTCGACCCCGAGGCCTGCAGCTTCCGGGAGCTGCTCCTGGAGGACG